TTATCTTATAATTAGTATCCAATTTTAATGTTTGAATATTAGGTATTGTATGAATTGTGATATAATAGTATGAATTGTGTTTCAACATTTGTGTGACTGTCTATTAACTGTGTATATGATATGAATTATAAAATTTGTTTGAAAATAGCGATTTGTCTATTAATTGTCAAACGTGTATGAAATAGGGTTAATTGTCAAACTAGCGATTTTTTTCTAAGAATATCACATTATGCTTACTTTATATTCTAAACATATTTTTGGATGAAACGTGTATGAAATCTAATTAATACATGTATGACTCTGACTTTAGTGTTTGATTGTTGGATATTGTATGAATTGTGATAAAATATTGGTACACAAATGGTATGAATGTTTATACGAAATTAATGAATGTCTACATGAAATTGATTTTTCGTTGGTATATAAATGTGTGATATAAACTGAAGTTAGTATTTGAATGACACCTGAATAAGATTGGTACAAAGATTGTTTTAATTTCATTTATAGTAGGACACAAGCTGGAAACCAAATTAATATTCATGATAAACTACATTAATTACTTAGGATACCAAATGCACTCCATAATTACCTTGTATAATTATCACTAATATTAACACTATCGTATATATTAAAACTGAAATAAATTTTATTTCCAACAGTATGCAATTTGTATGATTAATGAATGCATCGCATATAAAAAATGAACAGTATATTAAACACTTAGTTATAATGCATTTCACACCAATTATGTTTCATATCAAAACAAAACATGAGTCTAAAAGACAAAATAACTATTTTATATAGTCTAAACAAATAAATAATCGTTGTTTTTGTACAGGATAATTTGAACATGTCGTCCTGTTGTGGCCAACTTGACGACATCTACTGCAAGTAACTTTAGACCTTTTGAATTTTACATCAGCAAAACCCTTCCAGCGTTCAAGTTGCGGTCTTCCTGCTGTTCTCTTTGGACCGGGCGGCATCAATTTAGGCTCTGAAACATAACTTGGTATATCCCATGTACTCTCGCATGGGAGTGGTTCAACAGGGATGGCATATGTATCTTGAAAATTCTTCAGGCTATAAAAAGGAGAGCAGTAATCTGTTTCATGCAGTCTTCTGTATCTAAGAACTGCTATTCCATGCCCGCACGGTATCTCATCATTTTGAAATCTTCCGCAACTACACATCTTAGTGTTTAAGTTTACTATGTACCACTTTGGTCCATCAACAACAACATGCATCTCAACTGTATTACCTAACACACAAAAAAATTGATCATTAAAATGTTGTTATAAAAAAACAAGCCACAAAAAAATGTTTGAATTATAGTTACAGAATGGATATCAAATTAATGTATTGTTTATTCTAGTTGGCAATTTATACTAAATTAATTCAATAGTCGTACTAATTGCATACATGAATACATTTAAATAATAATGAATAAAGGAAAAATCATACCCCCATACTGCTAGACAAATTAATACTTTTCTGGAGCATAAGATCATATTTTTTTTGTAAGCTTTGATCTAGTTTTTGCAGCCTCCTCGTTGTGCTTATGAATTCATCTTTGAACTGTTACCCTCATACATTCAAGAAGTGAAATCACTGGCAACCTCCTTGCTATCCTGTTAACCTTATTCAAAGATTCGGCTATGTTTGAAGTCATGGTCCATGTTCACTTACATTTTGAATAAGCCCTTGACCACTTGCTATACCCGATATCATATAATAATCTCTTATTCTTGGATCTATCTGGTCTATTCTTTGCATAATCGCCTCAAATTGTTGTATTGTATAAGCCTTTGCCATTGTAAAAATAGTTTCATCTTCAGTATTCCTATGGAAGTTCTTCAAAACATTACAACATAAGTGCCATATGCAAGCAAAATGTTCCAATCCAGGATATACTCTGGCAGTCCCTTTCCATATGCTCTTCATTCTATCTGACATAAAACACGTGTTTTTCCTTTCTCCATATGCTTTCCTAAACTGTTCAAAGAACCAGGTCCATAATGCATCATTCTCAGAATCCACTATGGCAAAAGCAAGTGCAAATATGTGACCTGATGCATTAATTAAAAAAAAAAACCATATGAAACACACCTTATATCATATTTATTGTTGATTATAAATGTAAAAGATTCAAAAAATACCTCCAGGATCCATAGTGCTTGCAGTCAATATTGTACCACCATATGAGCCTCTCAAAGCTGCCCCATAAACAACTACAATTGGCCTACAATACTCCCAACCTCTAATACATGCTTCTAATGCAACAAATGCATATAAGAATTTATCACATTCCGTCCTTTCTAATTTTAAAACCAAACCAGGATATGTCTGCTCCAATATGTATAGATAACTTGGAAGATTTTTAGTTTTTACAATTAATTTTTATAATTAGATAGCTGAAAATTACAACACAACAAATATACTAACTAGCTACAAAATGGTCACCAATTATATTCAAATTAGATATAGAATGGATATTAATTGGATACAGAAAGGAAACCAAATGGATAATGGGAATTCAATCTGTAAACAAACTGCATGCCAGATTGTTGCATTGTTAAAATTCACACCAATTTAGTCAATAATATAAAATACAAAATTTAGTTCTAAAAAGAATCTGGAAGGTTGGCATATGACTCGGCTAGATCTCCACGCACCAATTTTATCGCCCTTTCTTTAGCTCTCCAGGCCTGCATGTATGTTAGCGCAACATCATGCACTTTCAACACGTCTTCCGCTATATCTTTTGGAGTGTATACAGTCGATGGATCAATAAATTTATCCATTATTAAAACAGCTACAACATCAGTTATTCCCTGACGCCTTGCATACACTCTATCTCTAACGGAACAAGTGTGTTCCGCACAGTATTTTCTGATTTTAAATAGCTTTGATTGATTCAAACATGATGAGTTCAGCATCCAGGAACAATTATCAGCAGAACACTTCAGGTAATAACTGTTTAAAAAACAAATAAAAAATCAATCAAAAACTAATATACCAAATACACTCAAAAATAAATACACATTCAAACAATCAATTAAATCCTTACCAAGATGAACTAGAACGAGTCACAGGAAATCTGAATTTTTCCACAACTCAATAATGTCGCATCACCTCCATAAGTGTTTCTTTATTGTAAATCTGATTTTCAGCTATAAATAAATTAGAAAGATCACTAATTACTCCATTTCCTTCATCAGTATTTTCATCGACAACTCCATCTAGATTCACTCCTATCAAGCGGATGGAGTTACTGGAGTATAAATCAAAGTTAGTTAGTGTTCTACTAACATCAGAATGTCTCCTATCCACAACAACTACAGAATCTTGATTATCTATTGCAATATTCTTCAAAGTTATGCATAATGGATATTTCGTAAAGAAATCTACATTAGCTTTCTTTTGATCTAAAAAAACCCGCACACCAACATCATTGTGGATACTAACAGGGGGACATCTATCACTAACTATATATTTTATCTCTATATTGTGAATATTAGCATCTATCATTAGCTGCGATGTTATCGCACTTACTAGACCACTATAAAGACTAGAATACTCATATATAATCCCCTCCATCTGAAAATCAACATATTTCCCTGTTTCATTAAAAAAATAACAATTAGTCTTACATAATATAAGAAAAATAAAATTATACACACTTGTCATTATTTTTTCATACAAAAATCATTCAAACAGTAAACTACAAACATATTTCATTTAAAAAAAAAACAGATTTTAGACGTACTTAATACAAATTTCATAATTGACAAAACTTATATAAACAATAACATTTCACATTTCATATCAAGTTAAAACATTTTTAATACACTTATTCAAAATTCAAAATAACTTTTTTTACTAACTAGTTAACACACTTTCATATCAACTTAAAACAACTGTCATACAATTCTTCAAAATTCTAAATAACCTTTTTTTCACATTAGTGAATACATTTTCGTACCAACTTCATTACACTTACACTAACAAATTCATTCAAAACAAATTCGAAATCTAAATAGTTTAGTTGGTTTAGAGGATTCGCTTTCCTTCTCCTCCCTCGAATTTAAAAAACTACAACAAAAACTCTAATGATGTAAACTCAACAAACCATTATTCATTAACAACTTGTAATCACACACAAATAATTTACTAATAAAATGAAGAAAAAAAAGTACTATTGAACTTCCAAAACAAATAAACAAATCAATCTATATATTGGTATAGATTATTATAGATTATAATATAATAACAAGGTGTATTAACATGAGAAATGAATAATTGTCACATTATTGTTCTGTCCATTTTCCAACAACTAATAAGTATTATGAACAAAACGTTATTGTTTATACAACAAAACATATCACATTCAATATAGTGACGATTTACAATTTTTCTTTTTTTATTTCACTGAAATCCAAATAAAAATAGTAAACAATTAAAAATATTCACCTGAAGCAACCTATCTTCCGTCATGTTTAATTAATATTGATACGTAGTTGTCCATCACAAAAAAAATAAACAGGTTTTTTCAAACAAAAAAAAATCAATTTGTCGCCAGTGACAATTTCTGGAAGAAAATCGAAGAGAGAGAAACTTGAAAGAAAAATGGATAAAATCAAAATTTTAAATTAATTATAACAAATTGGAGTGAATTATGGAAACTGAATATTCTTAATTAGTTTGAAATTTCTTAATTCATGCTAATTAATAATTATCTTCAATTAATTCAAATTTAATTGCCACCCCTATTTTCCGTTTTTTTCATTTTTTCCTTCAGAAACGTTTTATTTTAATTTTTTTATCTTTTTATTCTTTTCAAATCAAATGTTTTTAATTATTAAAAATAACTTTTTTTTTAATAATCTGTTACAACTTGAAATTTTTAATGTTATAACTTGAAAGTCTAAATCTACTGCTATAACTCGAAAATATTAGTATAATATATGTCATATTATAAATTTTCACTTAAGAAACCCTTGCATGCACAATCACTAATTAATTACATGATTTACATGTATCTTAATCACTTCAAAAGTAATTTTGATGGATCAGCATAGCGAACAGAGAATGACTTAAAGAGATGATCAGGTTCATCCAAACTGAAGCCATTGTCAAAATTTTGTGAGTAAGTATATTCATCATATCGAGGAATTTGCACATGAACTGACCTAGAACACTCGAGCCTTAATCCCTTCTTATTTTCCTTCTTCTCTTTTGACAACTTCTTCCACAAAACTTTCCAAATTGAACTTTTGCTACCTCCACTTTTTGAAATTGATTCTTTCACTCCTTCAATATCATCATGATCACTTCTTCCTAGTCTAACACTTCTACTTCTTTTGCTAAAGCTTCTATACAAACTCTTGACATCCATTGTAAGCAATAACTTTGATCAACAACGATAATAACGGTTACGTCTCAATTCCTAGTAAGTTTGAATCGACTATATAAATTCTCACTGATCTTCGTTCAAAAGAAATTAATTAGTTGCGTGGAATATAATGAGACATAGATGGTTGTGAAAACTATAGAGCTAGGAGTGAAATGGATTTTCAACATTTAAAGGAATTGGCTGTAGCTTATTATGATAATTTTGAACTTTAAGTAGAATTGTCCAAAATGGCAGCTAACTGGTAAGAAATGGTATTAGACAAAGATGATGGGCTTAGACTTTATTAATTTATATATACTACTAGAAGGTTCATACGTTTTGACCAAATAAAATAGTATTACTTGTGTCTCAAATTGTCTATCATGATTTCAGAAAATAATTATCTCAAATTATTTGTCATTTTAGAAGTACAAAATTAATCCTATTGTCCATTTCATCCTTAGTATTAATTGTTCTTGAAAACTATATCTAATGAAGAGTAGAGATTTTTATAGAGACATAAACGTGTAAAATAGAAATACGATAGATAATTTGAGACGTGGAGAATAGGTGACATTATTTAATTCTAAGTGATTATGTTTCATGTCTAACTATCAAAAGAATTAGTAAGCACGTGATAATGACTAATAGGGTGTACATGGCCGGGTTGGTTCGGGTTTTTCAACTATCAAACCAAACAATTTGTGTCGGGTTTTTAAATTTATAAATCAAACCAAACCAATAAAACTCGGGTTTTTCAACCTCTTGTTTTTTTGGATTTTTTCGGGTTTTTCGGTTTTTCGGGTTGTTTCGGGTTTTCCGGTAAAGTATTCATACAAACATATAATTTACTTGTACTTCAAATATTTCTTTAGTCCTACCAAAATACAACTATCTAAGATGTTTCTTAAAAATATAACACAATATGATATGATTAATGACACTAAAATATCCAACAAAAATAATAATAATGAAATCGCGTAAAACAAATATTGCAAATTAACAAGTCATAATGAAAATGATCATAATTTAAAAGTACTAAATCATGCTAAAATTAAGTTTAATAAGTATTAGTTACATGACTAAATATGAAAGGAAATTAAAATTAGATTATG